TCGAAATCGTCCTGACGCGTTTTCCATCCATCATGCATACACATCGAAGCCGCCTGCGGAAGCTGGCGCGACGCTGGAGCTCTCATCGGTGGTGCTCGCTCGAATCACGGTTCCTGAGCATTCTTCGGTCATTCACGAATCATAAATGCTCAGGGTATGCGTTTTAGGCGAAATAAGCGTTTATGGATAATAAATGCTCAAAATATGAACTTTAAGCAAAATAAGCACTTATGGATGATGAATGCTAAAATCATGGATTATAAGATGAATAAGTATTTTGCTTGAACGTACGGGCTCTACTGATGATGTCTACAACGCGGACGAAACTGGCCTGTTCTTCCAATTGCTGCCGGAACGTTCTTTGACTGTGAGGGGAGAGACTTGTGCCGGAGGGAAGAAGTCTAAAGTCAGACTGACTGCCTTGCTTTGTTGTAATGCAAGCGGTACCGATAAGAGGAAGCTGTTCGTCATAGGGAAATCAGCGAAGCCACGTTGCTTGAAAAATGTAAGATCTCTGCCATGTCTATACCGGGGGAACAAACGAGCTTGGATGACGCGCGAGCTCTTCAGTGAGTGGTTGTTGAAGTTTGACCGACAAATGAAAGCGGAGAAGAGGAACGTCCTCTTGCTTCTTGATAACTGCTCCGCTCATAATGTTGTGCCACGGATGACGAACATTCGAGTCGAATATTTCCCCCCGAATTGTACTTCTATTCTTCAACCATTAGATCTCGGCATCATCAGAGCAGTCAAAGCCCGGTATCGGAAATCGCTCATAAGGCTAATCTTAGTTTCGGAGAACGCTGGGAAAGATACGAAGGTCGACGTCAGGCAAGCAATGAAAATGCTCTCGAACGCATGGTCTGAGATCATCCCGACAACAATCAGACGGTGTTGGGAGAAGAGTTGTGTTTTCAGCTCAGGCCTGCCGATTTCTGATGTGATCAGCGATGACCATTCAAATGAAGATTATGATCCGACAGACCTCTGGCAGTTAAATGCACAGCGCCTCGGAAATGATCAGAACGTAAATTTTGACGACTATGTGACAGCAGATGACGACGTTCATGTTTGCGAGGAGCTCTCGGACGCTTGCATTTTGAAACCGTTCTTGGAGGTTCCTGGAGCCGCGAGTTGTGACTCCAGTGAGAGTGACGAAGATCCTGACGGAGGAATCCAGGAAGAGAATGTGTCGATTGGCGCAATGTTAGAGTCGATGAGCAGGCTGAAGCGGTTCGTGTTCTCTCATGATAACGTGCCAGATCATATTTTCAAAAGCATCTCAGGTATTGAAAACTTCGTCTTAACTAGTCAGACTAGGAAAATGGTGCAGACGAAGCTTACGGATTTCGTCGTAACTTAACATCCGAATAAAATTGTTGTGGTCTCTTTCTTGCCGGAGAGCGCTAGCGCTCAAGTTTTCATTATTCACGTCAGTTCTCGCAGAAGGAACGATGCAGCAATTTTGGGCACTTTTTCTGTCGTACCCGATAGAACGAATATTCGATACAACGAACAAAGTCCGCCGGTCCCCAGCTGTTCGTCATAACGAGCTTTTACTGTATACCCAATCGTAGACCGACAGCGATGCGGAGTGTGTTGTTGTCCAGCATCGTGCCAATCGACGGAGAGGGCAGAGCGTGTAGCCATCTTCCGCTGCTAGGATGAAGCGCCGCGTTGAGCCTAGCTCTCTGAAGATTGTCTAGACCATCGTGGAACAGTTCTGATTGTCTCACACTTGCGACGATGTTGGCCAAGGATGCTTGACAAATCTCCTCGGGCAAGCTGCTCCAGGAATCGTTGAACCGTCGGGAAGAATTCTGGAATGTTTCTCTTATAAACTTATATCGCACATCGATGTGTTTCGTGCGCATGTGGAATTGGGGGTTCTGGATTAGCTTTAAAGCTGATTGGTTGTCTATGAAGAGGTTGGGTTTCAACTGAATATTGAGTTCATTGAAGAGCGATGAAAGCCAGAGGGCATCTTTTGCTCCTTCTGTTGCGCTTATGAACTCACATTCTGTTGTGGATAGACTTATTGATTTTTGTTGCTTGGATGACCACAGTATCGGTCCACCGTTGAGTTTGGTCACTGTGCCACTGACTGACCGTCGCGTGTCCTTAGAGGCAGCGTAATCGGCGTCTGTGTAGATCTCGAGCGCGTTCGGGGAAAATGGGAAATTTCC